CCTGTGCGTTCCCATCGGGGGCGTCGCTTGCGGCGGAAGGCCGCGTGTAATCCTCGACGACGTCCATCACGTTTTTGCTTTGAGGAGTAGCGACTTGGCACAAGAGATTAAGCACTTCGCTGCGCACTTTCCACACCCTTGTACACTCAAGAGAACAGACCCTGCCAAGGACAGCAGCAGCATGGGTGGGAAGCGCAGAAGGTTGGAAGTGCTGCATGCCGCTCCTTTTTGCAGTCGAATGCAATACGCACTGGAGAACTTATGGAATCCATAGAACTGACGTGCTGACGTGAGTCGGGCGCTGGTCATATTGAGACAGCACCCGATCACCTGAGCAAAACGCTCCAGTCGCATCCTTGGCACCTCAACCTTGCACAAGACCCTTGAGCAAACGCTCCAGTCGCATCCTAATTTGGGATGAGCTGAGTGCGCTAAACGCGCCTTCGAGAGATGACTTGGAGCAAAATAAGATTAGCGTGCCGCGCCATAATACTATGAACCCTTCGGATGGTTTTAAACTTGCGTGCCGCCATGGGCCCAGACTACTGGCGCACCGCACACGGAGAAACTGGCTGAATTCATTGTTCTTCAGGCATGCGCCACATCGTTCGACCTGCGCCAAGCACGTACGTTCATGGGTGCTTCGCTTGAAAGAAGGACAAACGGCAAACGTGGGCTTGCGCTGAAGAAGCAACCCATACGGGCGGGGGCACCTTGCCCCTTCTCCCCATGCCGTAGCGCTGGGGAAGGCCGGGGTGGCAAATCGGAAGGCCGAGAGGCCTCCGCTACCTAAAAAGAATTAGCACTCGACCAGGGCATCTCAGAACCCCGTCGTCAAGAGGATCAGATATCCGATCGAGTCGCTCGACTGCGCGGAGAGGCGTGACGGCACCACTCTCCTGGAGGGACAGCTAGGTAATGCGGGATGACGATTAACTTAAAACATGGGAGAGAACGATTCAAACAATAGTTTTCTGCAAATTCTGCATGATTTTCTGACTGGAGGAGAACGATTAAAAGAAATAGTTTTCCAGCCTGCGGCCGGTTTTTTCTAATCGTCATCCCGGGCGCCGCCGCGTGAACACGACCCCTGGTCATTTATTAATCGTCATCCTCCATTGCCGAAACCGCTGCTCCCAGGACCTCTCCTGGAGGGACAGCTACGTACCGAAACCGCTGCTCCCAGGACCTCTCCAGGGGTTCGCTCTGACCACAACTTCGAAGCGAACCCAGCCGACGCGACGAGGGAACGGCAACGGCATCGACGTCTTGGGAGGCGGCCGGGGGGTCTGAAATGGCTGGGGCCCTAGAAAATCGGCCAGAAGGGGGGGATCAGGCCAAATCCGCTCAAAATCAAGCCCAAGATCCCTGCGAGGGTCCATCTGGTGCAGTTTTTCACCAGGATCGATGTGTCATCGTCCCAGGGCCCGAAAACGGCCCCCGGAGGCCGAAAAAGGCAACAAAACCTGCCGAACCCAGAACCTCGAACCTGCCCTACCCTTCCTGCTCGCCAGAACCAATGCTGGGCCACCTCAGACCCCCAAACGGCTCCCAAACGAGAGAACGGCAGTAGCATCGGCATCTCTTTGCGCGGCGCCCACAAGGGGGTGGACGAAAGGTGGAGGGCTTCTTAGAAGGAGGCTACTTCTTAGCAGGCGCCGGCCCTACATCTACAGATGAGGCCCGCGCCTTCTAAGAAGCAGGGGTGCTTCTCGAAAACCCTCCCCTCTCCCCCATCCCTCCCCCTGACACGCTCCTATGTGTTTTTGTTGAATTTGCGGCCCCAGAGCTGGCGAAACCAGAAGGTTCCGATACTGCTACTTCCCGGACCTCTCCCAGGATGCGTTCTGACCAAGGTCTCGAGGCGAATCCAGCGGTGGCGACGAGGGCCTCCCAGGAGGCCCAAAACGGGAAAAAGAGGGAAGGGTAATCAGCGGCTTGGGTACCTTCTCCTTCTCTGACCCAACACTCCCAGACCCTCAGTAAAACGAAACCAGGGCGACAACAAAACGCGTGAGGATAAATCGGATCTCTGAGATCCGGCAGCTCTTGAGGATGCCTCAGGCGCCGCGGCCTTCTCAGAACGCTCCAGAACGCTCTAAGCGCGTCCCAGAAAGCTCTGGAACGGTTTTATCCTCGTTCTAGTCTCGCCCGACTCCCCAGGGAGCAGCTCACCGTTTCGGACCCCTTGTTCGGGGAGACGTAAGACTCGGGTACGGGAGACTCGGGTTGGCTTGACGGGGCCATCGGGAAGATGACGAGACCCTGCATGCTGCATGAACTTTGACGCGAGCTCCCGCAGCAGACCTCCCACGAAAACTGGATGAAAACTGGACCGCCAACGCCCAGAACGCGCTCGTCAACAAGCGTCGGCAGATCCGAGCTCCGGCGCACTCGAGTTTTACGGTCTTACGTTTCCCCGATCGGTGGCTCGGGGGCGGCCAAGGAGGGGGGTGTCCAAGAGGGGGGGTGTCGCAAGAGGCGTAGGGTGCACATCATGAGCCCCCCCGAGCCCCCGAGTCACCCCCCCCGAGTCATCCCCCCGAGTCATCCCCCCCGAGCCCCCGGCCCAGGTGGAGGGCCGCCCCCGAGTGGCCCTGCTCGGGCCCGCCGGCCGGGTGCCGGCAGAGGGCCGGCGTGTGGAGGACCGCCCGCCCGCCGGAGCCCCACGCGGTCGGAGGCCCAGCCCGGCGGCTGCCCTCGGCTCGCCATCGCTCGGACGTCCACTCCCCGTGCATGCACACATATATATATACACACACACACATATATATATATAGACATCTATATATATATATATGTATATATATATATGTGTATGTATAAATGTATGTTACATACATCCATCCATCCATCCATACATACATACATACATGCATACATACATGCATGCCTGCATGCATACATGCATACATGCATGCATGCATACATACATGCATACATAAATACATACATAGAAACATACACACATACATACATACATGCATGCATGCATACATACATACATATACGCATGCTTATATATATATGTATATATATATATCTCCCCTGAAAATTCACAAGGTCATTGATTGACCTCGAAGCCTTCTTCTTGTCTGCATTTCGCTATGCGTGCATGCCTTCGCAAGTGTGCTTGCACGTGGAGGTCCACATGCCTCTCCAAACTCCTCCCCCTCCCCCTCTAGCTCCTCCTCATCATCACCTTCCTGCTCCTCCCTCTTCCTCCAGCTGGGGGCTCTCTCGCGCGCGTCTGTTTTCGAAAGAGTATACAGGATGCTCATCGATGCTCCTCCTCTGGGCGACGAATGATAAAGGAAAAAACAGGCCCCACGCGGGATGACACAGGGGCCCTAAACCGGAGCGCGCAAGACGCTGCGACCGCCTCGCGCTGAGTCACTTGGGGGCCCCAGTGTGCCCGCTCCAAGGGTCACTCGGGCGAAAGGTCACTCTTACGTCTAGTCGACTCTCTTCGGGGGGGCAGAGCGGTGGGGCTGGGCCAAAGGTGGGGCTGGAAGGAAAACCGCTCCGAACGGCCCCTGGAAGAAGGAAGCACGTGAAACGGGAGCATCCTGGCTCCGTTCCCCAGCCGCACCTTGCGAAAACCTGGTGGGCTTGTTTTCCAACACCACCACCACAAGCAGGATGGGGAGGGGGTCTTCTTCCTCCTCCTCCTCCTCCTCCTCCTCCTCCTCCTCCTCCTCCTTTTCCTCCTCCTCCTCCTCCTCCGCTCCTCCTCCTTCCCTCTCCAACTTATGGTGGTGGTGTTGGTGGTGGAAAACAAGCCCATCATAACCCTCCCTCTACGAACCCCCGATCTTTGCGTCGCCCATGTGGGGGGGGCAACGACCGGGGGGCGGCTGGCACGCGCGGGGGGGGGGGGCACGCGTCGACCCAGGAAATCGGCGGTGGAGCGTCGATGGCTCGCTGCCGGGCCCCCGCCGGCAGATCCGCACGCTCCCCGGGCGGGGCGGGGCATCGGACCCCGACGGTGAGGGCATCGGATTGGGAACCGTGAGATTAAGTCGGGCGTGTCCCCCTATACAGGGGGATTTTGAGCGAAAAATGAAGAATATGCAAAACATATTCCAAAATGGTCAGAAAATACTTTAAAAAAAATCGTCTCCATACTATTGTTGACTATTTTTGAATTTCCCCCCTGTAGAGGGACAGGCCCGACTTAACCCTACGGTGAAGGCATCGGATAAGGAACCACCAAGAACCCAACGGTTAAGGCACTGAATAGAGACCATACGGTGATCGCGTGGTCAGAAGTCACTACGGGCGGCTTTTGGCCTTCGGGTGAGGAGCGCTTGGATAAGGGACCCAGGGTCTGGAAGCCCGCGGAACTCCAGTCGTGGAGTGGCCATGGGTATCACCGCCGCCCTCATTGGATAAGGGATCCTCCAGGGTCTGAAGCCTCCTAGGCACATTCCTTAACGAACGCCCCCACCGTATCGGCGATCACTGAGCGAATGGAGTCAATGCATCCCCCCCTTTCTGGCTTCCCTGATCATTGGATGCTAGAGTTTTCTGGTCGCGACCGACGAGAGGAGATCGGCCGCTGCCGAGCTTGCTTCAAAATTCCGGTATCGGTCGCGACCGATTTCTGCTTCAGAATCGGCCGCGACCGATCGGCCGCGATCGATCGCGATTGGTGGCGACCAATTTCGGAATCGGTCGAAATCGGTCGCGACCGAATTGGAGTGCCAATCGGTCACTGCCGATCGCGACCGAAAAAAAAAAACGGTATCCAATAATGTGGGTTCGTCTTCGGGCCATAATTCGGGTCTCTGGCGGTCGTTCGGGACGACCCGGGCACCCTCGGAACGCTCTCGGCGAGGCGCAGCTTCCGGAAGGCACCTCGAAGCTGGCAAGCCGCCGAGAGGCGACGAGACAGTCCGACAACTCTGAGCCTTGAAGCCTCGAGCCTGTCCCGCCCCCCGGCTGAGCTCTCCTTCGCTGCGCCACGGCGTCGCTCTCCTCGAGGCGTCCCCTCGGAGTCACCGGCCCGAGCCGCCCTGCTCCCCGAGGCACCTCAGGAGGCTGAGCGACGGCGCCGGCGCCACCGTGTACATCGGGCGCCGCCCCGTGGAGAAGGCCGAGCGGCCCGTCCACGCCTTCATGTCATGTAACGAATGTAAGATGGCGATCAACACGGTGGGGGCATTGGATAAGGAAGCCCTAGACAAGGGATCCAGGGTCTGGAGGTCGGTTGAACTCCAATCGAGGCTTTGCCATGGATATCACCGCCGCCCTCATTAGATGAGGAATCCTCCAGGGCCTGCAGCCTCCTGGGCGCATTCCTTAATCAACGCCCCCACCGTAAAAGAATGTGGGGGGGACGATTTAGGAAATACGTTCCGAATCTTCGGATTCCGCCTCGCTTCGGCTCCGTCTGGCCCGTCGACCGTCCAGGCGCGCGCCCGACGAGGGCGGGAGGGAACAATCAAAAAGCAGTCTCCCGGCCAGGGGCCCATTTTCTAATCGTCATCCTGGGCGCCGCCGCGTGAGCACGACCCTCGGAAATTTCTCAATCATCATTCCGCATTAGAGGAAGGAGACGTGTGCACATACACCGATGCTGGTCAGGCCCGTCCTGGATCCAGGGTGGGCCTGGCCAAGATCGGTGCACGTGCATACTTCTCTTCGCCCGATTCATGGGCGCCTCCCGTACTATCATGTTGGCTCTTGCGAATCGACGCTGATCGACGCGCGGCGACGTTCATCGATGCGAATCGACGCTAATCGCCACTGGGTCGACGCTAAATCGACGCTCATCGACGCAAAATCGACGCTAATCGACGCTGAATCGGCGCTCGTCGCATCGAGCCTCGAGCAACCGACACTGGCGCGCGCCAGTGCACACTGAAGTCAGACGGATGAGAAGGGTAGACAAATAGACAAGCGCGCTCCACTACTCGCAAGGTATTGGCGGCGCGCAGAGGGGGGTAGGGGGAGGGGGGAAGGCTTCTTGGAAGGAGGCTGCTTCTTAGAAGGCGCCGGCTTTTCCATTTGTAGACAAGGCCCGCGCCTTCTAAGAAGCAGGGGTGCTTCTGAGAAGCCTCCCCCCCTCCCCCTACCCCCCCTGTGCGCGCCGCCAAAAGCAACTGCTCGCACGTGGCCCGAAGCCGCCGGGGCGGACTTGCCACCCGCTGCGCCGAGGCCAACCCGTGCCCCTCTTGCTTCGGACGCCTGCGAGGTTACCTTGCGCTCTGCGAGCAGTGTAGCGCGCTCGGCGAACAAAGCCCCCACGATCTGCGACCGCTGGGCAGGGACCGACCGCCCTGGCATTCCTCTAGTCCTACCACGAAATGTGCTTCGATCCCCAGAGAATGCCCTAAGAACAAAAGCGATGCTCTCAGAACATAGACCCGATGTGAGAAAACAAGACGGACTCCGCCCGAAATGTCCTGAGAACGTTTCGTGGCTACCACCAAAAAGCTTCCTAGAACATTGCTCGGCAGGGCTACAGGCGAGCCGGCACGCTTGGCCCCTGCTCGACGCGAGAGGCCCCCACGATTTCTGCGACCGAAGCCTGCCGCATCTCCAGGCCGGGCGCCGGCTGGCCCCCGGGCACAAGGCCCCCCCAGGAGGGCTGGATGAAGACGGGCTCCCCCAGCTTGCCGGAGGGCGGGCCGCCTGCGCCCCGCCAGGGAGAGCTGCACGCGGGCGCGCGGCAGCCCGTGGGCATCTCCGGCGACGTGCGCTCGTCTGTGTGCGGCCCGTGGGCCCCTGCGGCCTGCCACCGCTCGGACGTCCATTCCCTGTGCATATTTCGGTGTCGTGCGTGTTCTCGTCTGCTCGATGATCCAGGATGCTCCTCCAGGGTCCTCGCCGAGGAAAAAATGCACACGTCCGAGCGATGCCAGGGCAGTCAAAGCTGATAGTGAGGGTGCACGATGAGGATGCAAGGGTCTCGGAGGGCCATGCCGACACTTCTCGGGCGGTGCTGGGCCATCGAGAGTGGTTAGGGAGGGGCCGAAGAGACACGGATGCAAACTTGCCCTTGGGAAGATGGTCACCCATCCTTACCAGCGGTTTCGACTTTAGCGGCCCGGCCCCAGGGCATCCGTCGACGTGTCTTTTTCCCCCAAGGGGTCTTTGCGCCTAGGGGTCTTTGCTTGTTTTAAAGAGCCGGTGGGTGCAAGGCGCGGTCGTCGCCGGGTTCCCTGGGGTTCCGTGGTTTTGCTTTCTTGATTACAAGGCGCTACCCAGATTCCCTTGGGTCCTTGGTCTTGCTTCCTTGGTTTCTTGGTCTTGGTTCGTTGGCGTTGGTTCCTAGGTTTCTCGGTTCTTCACGGCTCCTTGGACTTGGTCCCTTGGTTCCTTGGTCTTGGTTCTTTGGTTGCTCGATCTGGGTTCCTCGGTTTCTTGGTCTTGAATGCTCGGATCATTCTTCTTGGTTTATTGCTGCCTCGTCACGCAACGCCGGGCAGTCCAAACCAATGCAAGCGCCAGTCAATGCGACGCTACGCAACGCGCACTGCCACGAAATGCCAAGCAACGCCGCGCGACGCACACAATGCGAATCAAGATGCCGAAGAATGCCAATCAGAATGCCAATCAAAATGCCGTGCAACGCCAGGCAATGCCACGCAATGCGCCCATGCAGCAGGCAACTCTCCCCCGATTGGGGTCGCGCCAGGCTCATCGTTCGGCCCGCGGCCCGCGGGCTTCAACCCCTCCCTCGGGGCCCGCGCGCCGTCCCCTGAGGCCCCCGAACTGCCGCAAACAGACGGCGCGGCGGAAAGAAACCGTCCCCTGGACGACCGGCGTGCTGACCCCCCCCCTTCGCGACAAGAGGTGCGTCGCGCATTCGTCGCCCGTGCGCCGCCCGTGCGTCGGCCGCCGAAAAGGCCAGCCGCCCTCTCGACCGTGCACGTCGCCCTCGCACGGGGGGGCAATTTGGTGAGTGCGTCGCCAGCGCGGCGGACGCCCCGGGGCGCCCAGGGCCTGGGCGCCCCGGGGCGCCGACGACCGCTGGGTGTCAGGCACGGCGCTCGACGCCACACGGGAGACGAAGGCTATCCGGGGGCCCCACGCCCGACGGAGCGCGGTGGCCTTCGCGGGGTGCACCGCGCGGTGCACCGCGCAGGGGCGCTCCCGCGCGACCTCGCGCGGGCAGCTGGCGCGCCAGAGACCGCGCAGTCAACCCATCCATGCGAGAGCGGCGCCACGTGCGGCGCACCACGCGTGGGCTGCGCCGAGATCGGCGGCGGGTCACCGTGCGAGCACTGCCCACGGGCGCCGCAAGTGGAGCTGCCCACGTGGCAATTGCGGAGCGTGAGGGGTGTGCCGAAGGAGGCAGGGTGCCGCATGCGAACAGTCTTTTCTGGGGCCGCAGGTGGAACGCGGGGGCATATCATCTGCGCGAGGGGTGTGCCGAAGTGTGTGGGGGGGACAATCTGCGATTCCTGTCTCCGGGGCCGTGCGTGGGGCTCCTGTGGACCTTGAAGGGTATGCCGGAATCGGCAGGGGCGGTATGCGAACCCTGTCTCGGGCCGTAGGTCGAGTTTCCCGTGGGCACGTAACGTATGAGGGGCATGCCGAGTGGGCGGGAGCGAAATGCGAAGCCTGTGGGGCACGAGACGCTCGAGGGGTGTGCCAGAATGGGCGGGGGAGTGGCATGCAAGTTTTGTCTCTGCCGTACATGGAGCCCCCTGTTGGGCACGACCCGTGCGACGGCTGTGCCAACATGGGCGACGGCGCGGCATGCGAACCCCAAAGAACAAACTATAAACGGAACGCTCTGTGTGGCCTGTGTGGCCTGATCCGTGTGAGGGGTGTGCCGACATGGCCGGGTGGCATGCAAACCTTCTCTGAGGCTATAAGCAGCAAGTCCCTGTGGGAAACGATTCGTGTGAGGAGTGTGCCGCAAGGGGCGGGGGCGCAGCAGAATGCGACTCCTGATTCTGAATTCGTAGGTGGGGTCCCCATGGAGCACGAAACGTGCGATGGGTGTACCGAAAAGGGCGGTGCAATGCGAATTTGCCCACTGGGGCCGCAAGTGGAGCTTCGCACGGGCCGAAAGGAGCGAGGGGGTTGCCGGAATGGGCGGAACGGTGGCCTGCGAACTTGGGGCCATAGGTGGAGGTCCCTGAGGGACACGAACAACGGAATGGGCAAGGGCAGGAAGAGGCGAAGGAGGAGGAGGAGGAGGAGGAGGAGGAGGAGGAGGAGGAGGATAAGGTAGGGCGGGGCGCTGCGTACTGAAGGCGAAGACCCAGATGCACAGAACGATTGGGAACTGAGACGGAAAAACTGTGAGAAAAACAAAATCTGAGGGACTTTGTCTTTTCACCGGCAGGGCCTCCAGAACTCTCGACCACATCCCCGGGCCCCACGACTGGTCAAACGTTTGTTGACGGCACCAAGGCCAGCATACGGCCTGCTGCCTCTTTCCATGTACCTGCAGAAATAGGTCCCGGGGACATCCTGGGGAACGGTGTGGCCAAGACTTCGAAGCCAATCCAGCCGTGGGGCGAGGAGGCTCCCCGAGGCCCAAAAATGCTCGGTCTTCGCCATCTGGTGGCGAAGCTGGACGTCTGGGTCTGGGCCAGTGTGCAGTCCTCCCTGGCCGCCGATCGCGCCGCCGCCCGCGAAGCGATACGGGAGGCCGTCGCCTTGGCAGGGACCGAAAAGGGCCCCTGAAGGGGGAGGGGTCCGTGGCCCTGGGGATTCCCTGGCGCCTGGCAGCCTCCCCTGGGAGCCTTGCAGTCCAGGACCTCTGGCGCACTGTCTGCTTCAACCGCGGCTCTTGAGGAGAAGGCGGAGGAGGAGGCGGAGGAGGAGGAATCCATCCGGGACGGAAACCTGGCCGCCGAGACCTCGGGGGCCCGCGGGCTGGAAGCGCGCCGTCGGCGGTCTGGCGGCCTTGCCTGGGTGGCCCGCCGTGGGCGTCCTCGATCGGCCCCTGCCAGGAGGGCCCCCGAGGTCACAAGTCAACCTCAGCTACTCCAGATTTCGTAATAAAAGGGAGGGGGTCTGGACCCCCCAAGACAAGCCATTTCAGACCCCCCCCCGTGGGAAAACCCTCCACAACATCGTCCACAGACCCCCCCAGGCCCTCCAAGATAGCCTGGAAGAGACCCCCCCAAAATGAGACCCCCCTCCCTTTATTACGAAATCTGGAGTATAGAGAGTTCACGGACACCAGGGACGCCCAGAAACTAGACGCCTCCCACTTCTCTTCCCTCCTCCCTCCTTTCCCCCTTCCCCTTCGCCGCCTCAGTCCCCCTCTCCTCCTCCCTCCCGTTCCTGAACTTTTTGAAGATTTTCATCGCCGCTGTCTTCGTCGTCGTCCCCCTTCAGGGTCGGCAGCACCGGCCGTAAACCCATGCAGAGTTCACGGACACCAGGAACGCCCAAAACAGAACCAGCCCTCCCAGCCTTGCTTCTCAGATCCAATCGAAGTGGACCGCTGGACCACCCCAGAAGTAAGCCAACCGACGCCAGCTTTTCAGCCCAGATCGATGTTCGACGGTCCCAGAGCCCAAAACGGGCGCCTGCAGAGTGAAACCAACGAAAGGCAGGGCGCGATACCTTCACCGATAAGACCAATCCGTCGGGTGATAGGGAGGCTGAGAGTGAGATGGGTGCAGCTTCCGGTTTGCGATTGGCGTCAGATCGAGATCTCGATCTATCGATGTGCCGATCTCGAAATCGATCGGTTGAATTGTCGGTCTCCCGAAATACCCGTCGACCACCGGGCGCTGCCGGAGACTTCCAGGCGCTCCTGGGGTGGATCGCGTGGGTCCTCTGGGAACTGAGCCGGCCCGCAAGTGGCCTCCCGAACCCCCCAGCATGTCTCCAGAGGCCTCAAGACGGCCCACGAGGGTTCCCAAAACGCCCAAAGAGGGCTCTGACAAGGTCGCGGAGAAGGACCCTTCGTTTTTGAAGGATTTTGAAAGATTCGGGCTGCCGAAACGCAGGCAGATTGGGAGAGCAGGGCGCAGGAGGAGGAGGAGGAGTAAGAGGAGGAGGAGGGGAGAAAGAGAGATGATGATGATGATGATGATGATGATGATGATGATGATGATGATGATGATGATGATGATGATGATGATGATGATGATGATGATGATGATGATGATGATGATGATGATGATGATGATGATGATGATGATGATGATGATGATGATGATGATGATGATGATGATGATGATGATGATGATGATGATGATGATGATGATGATGATGATGATGATGATGATGATGATGATGATGATGATGATGCTGATGATGATAATGATGCTGCTGATGATGATGCTGCTGATGATGATGATGATGCTGATGATGATGATGATGATGATGTTGATGATGATGCTGATGCTGATGATGATGCTGATGCTGATGCTGATGCTGATGCTAATGATGATGATGATGCTGCTGCTGATGCTGCTGATGATGCTGCTGATGATGATGCTGATGATGATAATGATGCTGATGATGCTGATGCTGATGATGCTGGTGATGATGATGCTGATGATGATGCTGCTGATGATGCTGCTAATGATTCATGATGATGATGCTGATGATGATGCTGCTGATGATGATGATGATGCTGATGCTGATGATGATGCTGATGTTGATGATGATGATGATGCTGCTGCTGATGCTGCTGATGATGATGCTGCTGATGATGATGATGCTGCTGCTGATGATAATGATGATGATGATGCTGATGATGCTGCTGATGATGCTGCTGATGATGATGCTGATGATGATGATGATTATGATGATGCTAATGATGATGCTGATGATGGTGATGATGATGATGCTGATGATGATGCTGATGATGATGATGAGGAGGAGGAGGAGGAGGAGACCCTCGCGAAACCGAAAACCATTGGCTGCCTTCGTTTTCGAAGGATTCTGACGTTCGCGCCGTTACGGGCTTCCAGCGTCCCACCACGGCCCGAGCGGCCCCCAAGAGGGGCCCCAAGACTGCGCAAAGAGGCCCCCGAGGGTGGCCCCAAGACAGCCCAAGAGGGCGCCAGGCAGGACGGCCCAAAAAGCGCCCAAAGACTGCCCAACAGGCTCCTCCCGACCCCCCGAGTGTCCCAAGTAGCGCCTCGGACAATCCAAGAGAGCCCCAAAGCGGCCTACGAACGCTCCGCAATGCTCCAACAGCCGCAAGGCGGCCCAAGACGGGCCCAAACGCCCCAAGAGAGCTCCAAGAGGACCGCCAAGAGGGCCCCCTGAAGCGAATGCCATTGACTGTTCGTACTCTGTGGCAAGCTTTGAGCGTTCTCGCCTGTTGGGGCTACAAGCGCTCCAACACTGCCCAGGAGGCCCCAAAGATCGGCCCAAGAGGCCTCCAAGTCGACCCCACGACCGACCAAGAGGGCGCCAAGACGGCCCAAGACGCCCCCGAGAGGGCGCCAAGACGGCCCAAGAGCGCACCAAGACGGCCCAAGGGCCCCTCCAAGATGGCCGAACAAGCCCCTCGCGGCACCCCAAGAATGTCCCAAGAAACGCCTCGGATGGTCCAAGAGAGCCCAGGAGCGGCCCAAGGGCGCTCCGTCAATGTCCAAGCGAGCCGCCAGATGGCCCAAGAGGCCCCCAAGACGCCCCAATGAGGCTCCAAGAGCCCCCCCAGGAGGGCTCCGAGGCGCCAAACTCACGTTGTTTCTGTTAACTTAAACAATGTGTGCTCGCGCCGTTTCTGGATTTCGACGCGCTCCAACGCGG